TTGTGTGTTCAAAATGTTGTATATGGTTGCATGCCTGCCCGTGTGAATTCTTTAAACCATTGTTCAAGGTGTTGGTGGACGTCGCAGTGGTTGTCTCTGCGAAGGTAACTTTCCTTCTCCCACTACGTACCGTTTCCCAGACCCTTACCCTTTCGATGATGTTAAATATTCCCGGAGTGGTTGCGTGTATTACTGGCAGTTTGAGGATCGATGTTCATAGAAAGTTGTACCATCTCACAATCTGATCTCAAAGATGTCTCTTTGTTTATAACTGATGGCATCAGATTTAACTAACCTTTATGTTTTTGCCAGCTTCCTTTCGCAGCGGAATTTGTTGGTGACATGGTTTTGAAAGCTATCCAAGAGACACCTATTGAAAAATAAAAAAGGGGATGATTTGGTGTAATAAGAGAAAATACCTGTTGTTATCAATACTAGAAAATTGGAAAAAATATCAAAATATATCGGAAAAAAATATTTTATTACTGTTTATCAATGGAAATTGCACTGAAGAATTTTTGTTAATAATTTCTAACAGAAAAGACAATGAAATAAAAAAGAAAAAAAAATATTAGTCAGCAATTTTATTGGTATTGTTGACTTGATGAAAATTCTGTAGGTGATTTTAAAAGCATTTAAAACCTGACAATCTTTTTTTCCCTCCCCCCACTTCTTATTCTTATTAGATTTCAGTCTAAACTCTGACCTTATTTTTTCAAATTTTAGAAGCCTCTCTCTAAAGTCTGTCCACTCAACTAGCTTATGCTGACCTAATCTTACTATATTGATTTTATTTTTTGTCAAGTTTCACTCCACCAAATAAACAAATCCATTCATTTATGTTTAAAGTTAATTTATTGAAATTTGTTTGTAGTTATTATAATTTTTTTATTTGTTTAAGTGTTTTGGTTGTTTTATAATGATAATTTTATTATATTAATATGTGGATTGTATTTTAGAGTTTGTTTGGGATTTAAAGAATATTGATATAAGTTGTTGCTTGATGAAATTAAGTGTGATTTTATGACTTGGATGTTTTAGAATTGAAAAAATGATGGGTAATATAATGGGTACTAATTATTTTGTTATCAATTTTATGATTAAGTTAGAAATTTAAAGAAAAATGATTTCTTGTAGGATTAATAATAATTAAATGTATTAATTTAGATGGAATAAGTTTGAATTGAATAAATGATAGATAATTAATAAGTAATTAGTAACCATTAGGGAATTAATTGGTTTTATTATTTATTGATGATACTATGATATGAAAATTGTGATGATGATATTTATAAAGATAGTTATGGTAATAATATTATCAATAATAATTGTTATTATAATGATAATATTAGTAATGATAATAATTATGATGTGATAACTAGCTATTGTAATAATAGGGTAGTGACAATAACTACTGACGTCAACAATGAGATGATAATTATTATTTTGATGGTGAAGGAATAGTAAAGTTATGATGAGATAATGATAAAATGATGATTAAATTGATAAAAATATAGGAGTTATGGTGGTGAGGTGATGATAATGATTAGGGGTAGTGGTAATGAGATGGTTTTTATTAATTTCATAGTGAATGTATAATAAAGTTATGATGAGATGTTAGCAAAATGATAATTGTAATGATAAAGAAAATGATGGTGGTGGTGTAGTTAATAATGGTGTGATAATAATTATTGTTGAAATGATTAAATAATGATATATTGTGAGTTAATAGATTAATTATGATTTATTTTTAATAAATAATTAAATTTATATTTGATATTATATTTTAGTTTTGAATTATGTTCATTGTTCTCTTGTAAGTACCTGGATGATTCAACCACTAAGAATAATGCATTAAATATTTTTTTTTATAAAACTCATTTCAGGCAAAAGGATAGTAGAATGGAAGGAAGATCTCTCCATATAAATATTTTTTCTTGTCTCGTGATGTTATTTGTTTTTACTAATATATTTTAATGTATTGTTCTTTTTAGAAAAAAATATTTGCATATGGAATTATATATATCTCATTGTTAGGCACCATCTATATGATTATATATATCTTATTATTGTGCAATATTTATATAATTTTGCTATTTAAATCTTTTAATTGTGAAAACCCACAACTCTGTGTAAATTTAGTATTATTTAGGTGTAAAGCTCCTTATAGGTCTTGAATTTTTGTTGTGAATATGAGTTTTCTGGGAGCAATTATTAGATAAAAGACTGTAGCCAAAAAAAAAACTGATGGAATTGCCAGCAAAATATTCTTTTCAATCCCGACGGAATATTTTTTTCGGCAATTCTATCAATATTTTACAATGTCAATGAAAGTGTCGACGATCAAAGAAAACCCAACAAAAAAGTTTCTGACGATATTATTTCATTGCATATTCTGTCAGCATTTTTCAATGCGGACAGAATCTTCACAGACAATTTTAATTCTGTATTGTATGTTTTTACAGGCTCTCCCATGATTTGAACTTCGGATGGTAACATGGAGAGAGAACAAATTTATTACCTTTTATGAGTCAAGTCTCCAAGATTCTCATATGGGTTTTGAATTTTTTTTAAACAAAGTTGCTAAAGCAATACGCTTTAGTATAGGGTTTCTCCAAAAGAAAATTTAAGTCATGAGGTGGTTTCTTGAGCACCAGCAAGAAATTATTAGTTAAACCAAGTTATATTTTCTTGTAGAATTCGCTGAAGAAAGAACAGTTAAAACAAGAAGAAGGTGGGCACTCATGTACTCCATAAGAAGTTGCGTGCCGGGAAGGATTGGAGATGAATGATGAGCGGTATTGTCTACTGTAAATCCTTCAAAGCTATATGTAATAATAAAGTAGATGTTATTGTGGTATGATAAATAAATAAAAAAAACCCTAACAAAGAATTTTAAGTGCGGCCTAGACGGGAATGGATGGAGTTAAAAAACGTGAGGCTGGGCATTTGAAAAATGCACGCGCGGAGGGAAGTGTATTTACTTGACAAATGTCAAGTAAATGAATGCAAGAAAGTGTTTTGATTGTTATTTGAGGATAAAAAATGTTTTTGGTTGCTGAGAATCATTGTCCCCATACTGCTTATATCATATTTTATTAAAAGTAAAATAAAAATATTCATGTATTATTCATGAAAAATTTAAATTATATAAAGATTAATTTAATTAACTTCACAAGTTTAAAGATAATATAAATAATCAGTAAAAACATAATTTAACTCAAGAAATTTAGGATATTTTTTTAATAAAAATATTACAGCGAAAATATATTGAATCAATGTGAGTCAATTCGAGTTAATTAAATAAATCTATAACTTGGGTCATGAGACCATATAATCCAATATAATAAAAATATAAATAAATTATGAAATTCAATTTTTAATTAACCTAATGTGTATAAAATAAAATTAAAATTAAAAAATAAAAAACATTAACATGGGTTACTTGTCAACCCCATGATTTATAGGTTACAAGACTAAGATAATCTTGCAAATAATAAATCAAAATAAATTTTGAAACTTAATTCCTAATCAACATAATATTAAAGGATAAATTGAAAAAAAATTAATTAAGAAACACAAATAAAATAATCTTAGTCAACTCAGATTATATCTTCAAACTCATAAACTTAATCATGATACCAAAATAACCTTATAAAAAATAAATTTTAAAGATAACCTAAGTCAAACTGAGTTAATTTGTCAAACTCATAACTTAGGTTTATGAGACTGTGATATATAACTCTATAAAAAAAATTAAAACAAAATAAAAAACTCAATTTTCAATCAATCAATTATTAAAAAATAAAATTAAAAAAATTCAATATAAAAAATAAACACAATAAAAAAACTCGAATCTACCCGAGTTAATTCACATCATAAGGTTGAATATCCTCATAAAAAAAAATCAAAATAAATCATGAATCTTAATTTCTATTCAATCAAATATTAAATGATAAAAATAAATAAAAAATTATTAATTAAAAAAATTAAGTTAACCGAGTTAATTAATTTATCAAACCCATAATATGAGTTATAAAGTTAAAATAACCTTATAAAAAACAAACCATAATAAACTATAAAATCTAATTTTTAAATACTTAAATATTAAAAAAAGTAAAATATAATTTTTTTTTAAAAAAAGAAAAAACAATAAAACACTTTTGGACGCTGCAATCAATATTATTTCTTACTATTGTCTTCCATTGTTTTTTTGTTTTTTTGGTTGTCTTTCTCTTTTCCAATGTTAAAATATATTTCATAGTAATTTTCGTGCATCAAAAGTGTTTGCACGTTTCAAACTGGATCTTAAATTATAAATTAAGATTATTAGGAGGCTAATAAAATATGGCAATAAATAAGGATACAACTAAAATTTAATTTTTTTGCTTTATAATGTAAGAAAACATCATAAAACCAAGATAAATTGAATTTTTTATAGAATTGTATTATGGTTTTATTAAGAAACTAGTCATATATTAGTTATATTGGTTACATGAAATGATATTTTTGTATTCGAGAAAGCATATTGTTGTCTTCCAAAGTCGTACATACACATAATTTTTATAAATTTTTATTTTATCAAATATCAAATTGCTTACAAACTAACTTAATAATTGTAAAAATTATTGTTGTAAAATAAGAAATTTTCTTAACTCTAATTTTAATTTTTTTAAGAGAATTTTAGTCATTCTACTGTGGATTTTAGTTTTTTTTTAATTTTTTATACTGATATTATAATGATAAAAAATTGTTGTGCAAATATAAAAATGCTTCTTAATAGCTAGTGTTTAAGTCTTTTAGGTTATTACATCCCATTAAACAATATTTTTAGTGTGGAGTTGCCGAATTTTTCAAAATGATTTTTAGCTTATTTTAATTTAGGGGTTTGGAAAATACAAATAAGGAAAGAAAAGGAAAGCATATTATTTTTAAAAGAAAAAAAACGGAAAAGAAAAGAACTTCGCTATTTATACAGTACACGGAGAGGGAAATTACAGTGAAATAGTGAAGCCGACTCCACTTGGCCATGAGAATGTGTGCAAAATAATTTTATAAATACAATTCCTCCCTCCTGTCATTCATGTCTGAAACCATTTTAGCTAAAAAGACCTCCTTTCCTCTCTCTCAACAAACCAAGAGGAGGAGGAGGAAGAAGAAGAATAGAAAAGAAAGCAAATATGTCTTCACCAAGCAAACGCAGGGAGATGGATTTGATGAAACTGTAAAAAACTCTTTTTTTGACACAAGAGTTTCGTTCTTTATTTGATTGGGCTTTTTGGTTTTTTCTTGATTTTTTATGGCTGTTGATTGACTAGGATGATGAGTGATTACAAAGTTGAAATAATCAATGATGGCATGCAAGAGTTTTATGTGGAATTCAATGGACCTAAAGAAAGTAAGTAATCAAAAATCTTCAGTACCCCTTTTTTTTTTGTTCCTTTTTACTGTTTTCTTTCTTTGATTCTGCTCTTCTTCTTTCTTAATGTTTTTCTTAGCGGGTTCTTTTCTGTTTTTCAGATGATTTTTTATTTATTCTTGTTGACCCATTTGGATACTTTGGGTCATGGAATTGATCTTCAAGATTGCTGTCAATAAGAAGTTATATTTTCTTTTTTGTGAATTGAACCTTTTATTTTTCTTTTGCCGGAGCTATTTTTCTTTGAAGTTGAATTTTAAGCAGATTTCTTTTACTACTGATGCATGAGAAGAAACTTGTTGTTTTGCTTTTACTGTGAAGTAGAATGAAAATTTGATGAATTGCATTGCTGCTTTTAGTTCTTATACTAGTTGCAGGTTTGTTGTTTGTCGATTTTCCTCAGTGAAGATAAAGCTCAAGTTTCTTTGGTTTTTTTTTTTAATTATGGATACAGTCAGATTATTATCTCTTCTTTTCTTTTTTCTTTGTGCGAACATGGTAGGTCTTTATCAAGGAGGTGTGTGGAAGATAAGAGTTGAATTACCAGATGCTTATCCTTACAAATCTCCATCAATTGGCTTTATCAACAAGATCTATCACCCAAATGTCGATGAAATGTGAGTTAGTGGATGCTAAAATTTGACTACTTAGCTTGTTTGAAATTTGTGTTAGCTTATATGGGTTGCCAGATCACGTATTTTAATGGAAATGTGGGTTCTTTTTGAGTTTCAGGTCTGGTTCAGTGTGTTTGGATGTTATCAATCAAAATTGGAGCCCCATGTTTGGTAAGCCTGCTCCATTGTTATTATTTATAGATGGACAATTTATGTGCTATGTGCTGATCTTGTAAATTTGTTTCATCCATCCTAGATTCTTCCTTCATTTCTTGTCATGTTAGACATTGACAGTTTCCATTTTAATGAAAATTACAGATCTGGTAAACGTATTTGAAGTGTTTCTTCCTCAGCTTCTTTTGTATCCCAACGCATTAGATCCATTGAATGGAGAAGCTGCTGCTTTAATGATGCGTGATGGCACTGCTTATGATCAAAAAGTGAAAGGTAGGAAGTCTAAACATAGTTTGTGAACTTAAGTTTTACTTCTGCTTAGCTAGTCAAAACAGAGTTTAAGATACTTTATTTTACAGTTCTCTTATTTTTATCCTCAAATCTGTAGATTTTTCCACTCCAAAATGCATTTAGAAATTCATGAATGTAAGGCTTTGGGGTTATGTTGCATGTTGAGTACAACATTAACCGTGCTCACTCATGTCTCATTGGCCACTTTCGGGAGGTTTCAGTGCTTATTCTGGAAAAAGGCTTCATAGTTTTAACCTTAAACTTGATAATCAATTTCAGTCCCAGTATATTAGCACTTAGTGTGTTAAGTTCATAGCTTTAGCTTCTTTTATCTAATTCCAGTTTAATTACATTGGTATTTTATTTTGGATGTGCATCTTTGAAGTTGCACACTTGTCACTTGTTTGTTTCCATTTTTTATCTATAATATCTGATCAGCCACATCTGACACATTAAGATGTACGTCTACGGCCCTCTGTTTGTCTTTTGGATCAGATGGTTTGATGCATTGAAAGGATATGCATCTACAGATGGTTACTTCCAAGAACCATGAAATGGAATAAGACCTATAATCAATCAAGTAAAATGGGTCCTATAATCAATCAAGTAAAATGGGTCTGCTATTGATTTTGAATTACTAATTCAGAAATTACTACACTGAATGGAAACATTTACTTTGAGATGGCATGTAATTGCCGCCATTTTGATGCACGAGTGCATGAAGGCAAGGGAATGGTGAACCATTTGTGACTGTTGGACACCGAAGTGGTTGTCAGATGTCAGGCAATTTCTGCTGCAAATACTTATTCTATTGCCCTATAATTTTTTTTTTTTTATGGAAGTTTGTGAATTGTGTCTGGGAAGACTACAGTATAGTAAGATTTTCCTTCATGAACAGGACTGTGGGAGAGCTGGTGTCAGCCAATCATTTATCTCAGCCAATCATTTATAATCTCTTAACTAGATCCAAAAACCCGAAAAACAATTTTGTCATTTGTTGAATGGTTCAGTAACTATGAAATGATAGCAATTATGTGAGGATGGTCTCAGTTTCCTATACAGGAATTTCAGATTTAAACAGTTGGAGCCCCATCAAGAATACATGGCCGCCCAAAAGTAAGGATAGTTAATTGCTGGTTTGATCAGTCCTTTGGTTTCACAATGGCTACTAATTTGGTTTTGGAACTTGGAGATTATATAAGAAATTATAAGTTTGTGTGACTGGAATAAGAAATGAAGAGTTGTTACTGAATTGGGTTCACTTAAAATAGACTTTATGTTATGTGAAATATACAAATCTGGGATAGGTCTGTGTCTTGTTTGATGGTGGATTGTCAAAAGTTAAACAAACCTAAGCTGGCAATAGTCATAGAGTGTACCTGTTGTGCATACGGACATCAACCTCAGTTTTTCTATGATTTGTATAATGTTAAAGATTGTCAATCCAGCATTTTATCAGCCCTTGTAGTCTTAAACTCTACTTTGCATTTAAGTCCTAAGCTGACATCATTACATCGTCGACTCTTCTCTCATCCTTCATTTATCCGTCTTGTTTCTATATTATTTCTTGAAGTTATGCAAGTGTTTTTTTTTTTTTTTCCAGAATACTGTGAAAAATATGCGAAGCCAGAGGATATAGGAGCGAGACCAGAAGAAAAATCCAGTGATGAAGAACTGAGTGAAGATGATTACCACTCTGATGATGATGAAGTCGCTGGCAAAGCTGATCCTTGATTACATTTATTCATGTATTCTAAGTGTCTGTTCTTGTACATGAAATTCAACTCTTTTAAAATGGAACATTGAAACCCTCATCAAAACCGATGGCTTACGGGAGAAATTCCTGCCCTTCTCTTTTTATTTGCCATGAATGTTTTGTAAATTATTTTACTGTGGATCAATGTTTCAGACCTTCGTTACTGTTGGGACTAAATCATGTTGCTTATCCTTCGCACGTGCATGCACCAATCGTTTTTTCGGTGGGACTTGTCTGGTCTCCACTCATGGATGCCTTGTGGTAGACAACTTTTAATCTACAGTTCACACCATTTTAGGAGATAGCTTAGCTACTGGTGAATGGAGGGTAACTCTATCTGCTTCTGATAAGCTCGGAGCACTTGGAAGCTTGAACCATAATGATATCGGATTTTAGGATAACCATACTTTAGGTTTCAGCTGGTATTGATTAACTTGGTTGGATCAAGTTATAAATGGAATGATATTTCAACATCTAAAACAATCAAGTTGAATTGAATGGCTCCATGCCATTGATTGGAAATTTCAATCCTTTTTTTAGATGAAGATGAGTATTCAAACCATTTTATATGTATTTCAACTAATTCTATAAATTTTAAAATTAATAAATATATAAATATTTAATAATATCACAGTAATCATGTAAAAAAGATACAAATACCTTTCTCTTTCTCAATAGGAAAGAGTTGACAAGTTATTAAACTCCATTATTCATATATTATCATGGTGATCATGTAAAGAAGGTCGTTTCTTTACTAAAAGGTAGTTTTTTTTAAAAAAAAAATTCGTTTCTTTACTAAAAGGTAGTTTTTTTAAAAAAAAAAAATTTTCAAGAAAATAAATTATTTTTTAATGTTTGATAGTGTAATAAAAAAATAAGTTAAAAAATATTTTACAGTGTTGGTTATGTCATGAAAAATGAATAAAAAAATAACTTATTAATGTTTTATTTTTCTCAAGTTTATTAAAATAATGAAGAACAAATCTTACTTAAAAAGTTAAATGAGAATGAAATTAAAAAAATATATAATTTCATAAATTATGTTAAATAAAATAAACAATAATCAAAATAATAGAGATCAAATCTAAAAAAATAAAAGATAAAAAAATTAAAATAATAATAATTAACATTTCATAAATTATTTCAAATAAAATAAGTAACAAATAAAAAAATAAGAATCAAATTTGATAAATAAAAAATTTCAATAAAAAAATGATAGGGGAAAAGTAAATAACAATTATAAAAATAAGGACCAAAATTAATATAAAAATTAAATTTTAAGAGATGAAATTAAAAAATAAATATTCAAAACAAAATATATATAGCAATCAAAATTTTGAGGACTAAATTTGATATAATCAGCAAATAATATGATATTTTTAAATTTTTTATAATTTTCAGAAAGTGTTTTTCGACCAAATTTTTCAGAAAAACACTTTCCTAGTAACCAAGCTAAATTTTTATTTGAATAAAAATTATTTTTCATTGGTTAATTTTTTTAATAATAAATAAATTTTAAAAAAAAATTAATTTTTTTTTTAAAATAAATTACAAGAAATAAACATAACTTGAATATCTATTTCATGCATGGAAAACAACAAAATAGAGTTGTGTCCTTTGGCCGAAGAGAAAAACGGTCCGTGCATAAATGAGTTGTTGTGTTTTTTAAGCGCATTAAGTTTAAATGTTTTTTTTTTTAAATATGACAAATTAAAAATATGTTATTTTACAGAAAAAATTCTTATAGTATTCTGCTAATTTTTTTTAATTACTGTCCTAATTAAAAAATAAATAAAAAACTTGCTCATCCATCCATCCATCCATGATAACTAACCAAAAAAAAAAAAAAGCAGATGGGACAATCAAAACAACTTGAGCGACACAACACTGTCAAAAACTGACACAGTAACCAGATTTAGAGCTGTTTTTTCCTTGTGGTAGAAAAGAAGTACCAAAGGCTATCATTATATTATCCAATGGATCAAACAAACGGTGGTGTCCTTTTCTTTTTGATTCATTAAAGCTTGCAGTTCAGTTAAGTTCATTCCATGAGTTATGTCAGCTCACATACTCCCAGGTTGTACTGCTGGTGCAGGAGTAAAGATTTACTACTCTTTTAGTTCTCCTGCTGGAAAAAGTGGACAGCCCCTCCCTGCTGTTGCACTTAACATTTTACATTTCCATATTGTATTTTATATTAGATGCTCCTCTGTCATCCTTTTCCAGGCTCCAATTAGAGAAGGAAAAAACCCATAAAAAATTTTCGACGCACAGTGGTAACATCGTGCTAGAATGTCCAAGAATTTATGTACCTGTGTGCAAAGGCTTGATTGACTGCTAAAATGTTAGCTTCTACTTTTTTTGGTGGTTATTTCTAAGAAAACATTATGGGTGTTGTGAATACTTATGCAATCCCTAAATGGTATTTAACGTAGAGTGAATTACTTTGACAGTTTAAAAACAATCCCTCTGGTCATTAAACAAAAGTTCAATGACAAATTAAAAAAAAAAAGGGAATAAATCTATACTTGTAAATTCAACATGTTTTTATAAGGGCAAAAGCATAAATCTATTGGTCATTAAACAAAAGTTCAATGACAAATTTTTTTAAAAAAGGGAATAAATCTATACTTGTAAATTCAACATGTTTTTATAAAACATGTTTTTATAACGGCAAAAGCATAAATCTATCGCTATAATCCATGGCAATTAGTAATTATATTACAGCGATTTTTCCACTTGGATTTTTTATTAAAGTACCTGGATTTTGTAGGAAAATATATTTGAAAGTGTAGATATGATTATTTTTTAAGTGATTTACACTCAAAAATATATTAAAATAATATTTTTTTAAAAAAATTATTTATGATATCAGTGTATAAAAAATAATATAAAAATACTAAAAAAATATTAATTTAAAATAAAAAATTAATATTTTTAAAAAAACACACAAAAAAATAAACAGGAGCTAAATTTGGGTAGGAGCTAAAAGGTAAGGTGAGCAGTTCTTCAATTTTTTAGATTAACTTAGGTGTCCGGACCAGCTTGCGCGCATCACAACTAATTCCACAGACTCTGAAATTAACGATCATATAAGTCTTCAGTGACCATCACATAAGCAACTAAAACTCAAACTTAAAACTACAAAAAAAAAAAATCTTTTCATCCTAATTTCTTACCATTTCATCGCGACGTTATCTATATTATATGCTGTCGTGCAAGGCAGAAAAACTTGCAGAAAAAAAGTCTTTCCATGCACATCAAATGATTGAAATTTCACTAAACAGTTGGCAAACTTTGTTCTGTGTAATTTATACGTGGCATACAGTAATGATTGGTCACATGAAATGATTAGAAAGTGATGGGTTACACAGCTAAAGAACTTCAGGGAAATGGAGAATTATTCACTTGGGAAGTGTGAAAGGGGAAAGGGTGGACAGAAAAGAAGGCAAAATTGGGAAGCGACAACCCTCTGCTCCTTCACTGTCCTTTTACTTTATACCTTCACCAATATGCAAACACATGAAGACGGCTTAGCAAGCATGGGCGGAGAAGCATCTATCGCTTGTTCTAGCTTACGTGTGAGTTGAATGTGTACTGTGTATCTTCATCGAGACACGAGGTTATAAAGTGAAACAACGAAAGATCAGAAAGAGATAAAGAGATATAATTTAACCTGGCAAGAAATCTTGTCACAAGTTTCCAGGTTTGCACCAGCATGCTTCCATCATGGCAAAGTTGACAAACTTGGGTGGATCACTAGTTAGACAGTTTCCAAATATTTCAACACTGATAGTAGAATACTTGTAATCCAGCAATGTCCTGTTTGTTTCAGTTGATCTATAACATTGTGAACCAACAAGTTGTTCATATCTTATTAAGTCTTAATTAAATCTCTGTCCTTAAGCTCTGATTGTAATGGAGTGATGCAACCACGAAGTAACCGTAAAGTTCATGCATGAAAGAAATTAGGACAGCATGGGAAGCAACAAGCCAAGGCAACACAAGGCCAAAAAATGCACCAAGAAAAGAGAGCCAGCATATTTGTTTATATATACAAGAAATTAAGACAAAAAATTGATAAAATGAAGGGCATCCTTATCAGAGTTAAAAAAATGGCATTAAGAGATCCTCTAAAATGTTTATAACAGTTTTATTTGAGAATTTTGTATAAGTCTAATGTAAATTTTGCTTACAAGGAATATGCTCTATGATGAATGCTGAATTTGAACGTTGGCATGAAGCCTGGTGAGTTTGCTTAGAGTTTCACGAGCAGATACAGTGTCTGGATGGTCATCTCCACAAACTGAAGTTCGAATAAAAATAGCCTTTCTTATTAGATCATCTCCGATGTCAAATTGTCCACCTCTCAGCATTAACTTGGCTCTAGTTTCCAGCACAGTGGCTCTTGATAGAGCCAGCTCCTGCCAAAGGTATGGATTCAACTGAGCATTAGTCTGGATGGGTCTCCAGCATAGTGATTTGTCCAACCATTTCTCAACTGGAGTAACAAAAGCTTGATCTGCTGCTTCTAAAGCATTAGTACATAGGCGCAGGAGTTCCAGAGCAGCACTGCATCTAGAGAATGTAATGAATGTCCGAATGGCAAGAGGCAAAACCACTTGTTTGACCAAGTACAGCAACTCTGACACCTTAAGCTCAACAGCTTTAGGGTCAGTACCAAATCCAAATAGCAAGAAGCATGCTGCCCATATGTGTTCTGAATGATGGGATACGGACCCACGACTAATGACAGCATGCACCATGGCTTGTGCAACCCCAATGACTCCTCTCTTGCGAGCATAAAGCTTGATGAGCTCATTGACATGGACATAGCCTTGCTTGGTACTACTTCGTGCAATATTAAATCTCAACAGCATGGAAGATGCTTCTGCTTCTGATCTTTTGGTGTATGGTGAAGAGAGGCCGCAACTCAAAGAAGACAACAATTTTCTCCATAAGCGTGTTCCCTTGCGCTTCTCTGGAATCTTTTTTGCAGCTAGGGCTAATAGGGAAACTGGAATTGCAGCTGGTGCAAACCAAGCACTGGCCTGGACCATCCTTGTCGCCAAGCTCCTAGGCCCATCCGCATGATCAAATATAGAAAAACATACCTCGAAGAGTTGCAGAAGGAAAGTGTTTTTCCTCATTGAATGAGCTTCTCTACCACTCCATGA